ATTTTTTTTTTTTTTTTTTTAATATCAATATAAAAGGAAAACACCTCTTTTCTCCTTGTGGGTCTCAGTGGGGGGTTTTTTGTTTGTTTGTTTGTTTTGTTTTTTATGCAAAAGAGCTGGGAGAAAATGAGGATGTTTGAGGTTCCAGAAGTTGAGGGCTCTGGAAAGTAGGATTTTGTACCTAAGACCCTGGTTAAAGTGCGGTGATGGTTAGGAGAGAGACAGAGTGCCCCTCTCTCCCCTCCTTAGCACCTGGTCTTGCCCTTCCAGTCTCTGCTTTCATGGGCACAGTTATAGCCTCAGGGTATAGTCCCTGTTGCAAGTGGTTACAGGTGCCAAAACTGACTGAGGGAGGGTACAAGAACACTCTAAGGCTCTGATAACCCAGACGGAACTAGTCCTTATGAGGTGCCACCAAATACACAGCAGATACAGAAGAGGTGGTAGGGGATAGACCTAGTAGGAAGCGGCTCAATAGTCCAAACAGTTCAGGAGAACCCCAGGTATTAACCTCAGCTATGCTGCCACCCTGAAACAAGGAGTCAGGACCCTGGGTACTGTTGAGAAGACTTCTCTTCTTTAGAGACCACTCTACTCTGAGCTTACTCCCCTTTCCTCTTACCCTTGGCAGCACGTGTTTATTGCTGTGTTGTCAAGGGGGAACATCACAATGACTCCCCCTGCCAATCTATCCTTCCTGGGGAGACCATAAAATGAGGGAGAAAAAGGAGAAAACATTTTAGGGTCTCCTTTCCCACAAGAGGGTAAGACAGACTCCTCCCAGAGTCTTTAAGAGCCCCAATCCCAGGGTCTGTTTATAGCCAACCCTTTACCATCCCCCCAAAATATCCCTGATAGGGAGTGAGAAAAGTAGGAGGCAAAAGAGCCAATAAGGAAAAGACATGTGGAAAGAAAGATGGAAAGAAGAGGGGAAGAGAAAAGGAGAGAGAGAGAAGGACCAAGTGTTACAACTTGTGAGGTGGTATGTTTGGTTTTTACTTTTTTTTTTTTTTTTTAATCCTTTAAACATAGAAAAACAGCCTTTGGTTTGAATCTCAAGGAAGCAGAGAGTGGGATGGCTGTGGTCTTGGGCAAGGAACTCTTGTAGAAAGAGCCCTCTACTTCCAGTGGAGTTATAACTTCTCCTGCTCCCATATCACTAATCCTGGGGTACCCAAATAGCCAGGGTCTCTACAGTAGCCAGGAGGAGAGTACCCCTTCCTGCCCTATATCTGGGAGCTGAGTGTAGAAGGAGGCAGTAAAAAGCTGACCCTGGTCCAGTTGTGCCCATCCCATTCTGGGACAAGGATAGAATGGGGTGAGGGGCATGTGCCTTTGCTTGTCTAGGGATAATTTTTGGTTACACTGAAAATTAGAAGAGAGAAAAGATATACCCTTTTCTCCCCACCACTGACCCAAAAATAGGACCCAAAAGTCCGTGAATGAGAGGGTGAATCCTACTGTGGGGGAAGGGCAGGGAAGAAGGAAGAAGGCAGCATGACTGAGGGGCTGAGATACCCCTTGTCATCAGGCAGAAACCTGCTAGTTTAGGATGGGGGCTAAAGAAGCCCCTGAGAGACTAGGAAGGTCACTGGAGTGAAGAGGTTTGAGAGTTGGAGGAGAAAGAGAAAATTCTTGACTCACCCCTGCCCTATGCCCTGGCTCTCAATTAGGCACCTGTGGCTCCCAATGCATCAGAGATAGAGGGATGCAGACCTAGCCTTGGCCCCTGAGAATATATAATTGGGGCATTCCAAGGAGAGAAAGACCACCACTGAGTAGACTGGCAGGCTGAGGAGACCAGAGCAGTATGAGGGGTGTTCAAGAAGAGGAAAGAGCTATCTATATCACATCCTAGAGGGAGATCCTGAATGTGGACTTTGGAAATTCATATTATTAGGGGAATATCAAAGGACCCTTAGTCCCATGGTGCCCAGGGAGGATTTCTTCAACCCCTCCTACTTTCAGATGAGGAACTTCTTTATTTGTTCAAGAAGAGTGCAAGCTGCCAAGGTGAGAGGGCACAGAGGTATGAAGTACCAGATTGAAGAGTCCAAGAGAGGAGATATAATGCCACATAGCTAAGGTAGGGCCAGAGGGAGGTATCAACATCAACAGTGAAGAACCAGATAAAGGATGAGGAGTTTAAGCAAGAAGAAGCTCAAGGTCTCTTAATAATACCAAAGAGGAGCTCCCTACTCCTGGCTGTTGGAGGAAGCTAGATCATTGACAAAATTTAGGCCTAAGTGGAAGGGCAATGTGGATGTGTGGGTGGCAAGTGAATTGATACAAGTTTAAAACAAAAAAAAGGCAAAACAAAAAACGAATTTTCTTAATAAATAACAAGTATGCTAGGATAAGAGAAAAGAAAAACAGGAAACATAAGCAAAAGGTCTGTCTCATCACGATGCTAAGTAAGTCAAGGTAGAGGAAAAGAGGTGAAGAATGGTCAGGGTCAGGTATGAAATCAGGTAGCCAGTGGTGGGGGCGAAAAGCAAAACTCCTTGGGGTGTGGTAGGGACAGGGCTAGACACCTGTAGGTAGGGCAGTGAAGTGGACTGAGGGGAGGAGTGAAAATCACTAGCCCACCTTATGCTCCCCCCGGACAATATGGGAAGAGAACTCATACCGGTCCTGGCTGTGGTAACCACAGATGTTGCACTCGAAAGGGTCTCTGAAGCCATGGCAGCCCATGTGGATAGTGAACATGACGTGGTCCAAGAAGAGGATGCGGCAGTGCTCACACTTGAAGGCCTTCACGGGCTCGCCGCTCTCACCCACCACCCGAAGCACTTCCTTGGAGGGGCCTGGAGTGCCCCGTGGTAACCCCTCTTGTGGCTTGGGGTCCTCTTTGGCGTAGGCAGGACTGGGCCGGCCCACCACAATAGTGGGAGGTGGTTGGGGTGGGGGACCCTGAGGGAGGGATACCACCCCAGCAACCCGATCTTCGTGGTTGCTCTCGGTATCTGTGGAGTCCTGGCAGCCATTGCTGGGGGATGCCCCAGGATCAGTCAGGGAACCTCGAGCATGGTAGAGGAGGGGGCCTCCATCAGCCAGGTCCTCAGGTCCTTCACCTGCTTCTCGGGACCCTGCAAGCTCCAGTCGACCGGGGAGGGGCTGCATCTGGGTGTAGACAGAGCTGATGACGGGCGTGAGTTCTGAGATGCAACTGGTAGGTGGAAGGCGAAGGGGACGCAGATGCTCTGCCCCCACAAAGGCCAGAGAACCTCCAAAACCAGGCTCCAGGCCATGGTGTGCTACCAACTCCACATCCTTCTCGTAGCCACCCGAGTTCACATCATAGGGGAGGTCTGAGAGGCTGAAGCGCATCTGCTTTTCGCCTGTGGAGAAGTGAGTCTCAGTATGGCTGCGTTTGGAGAATTGCTGTGCTCCCTCGGGATTACTTCTGGGTAGTCCTGCCATGGGGCAGGATGTAACAGTATTCATCATTCCTCATTTACTTTCCTCAGAGGCCAGGAGCTCTGTGGAGTTGTTTCCTGATTGAAGCTGCAATCTTAGAGGAGGACTTGGTCCCAGCCCACTGATCTTTAATACTTCTTTCATGACTGCAAAGCTCTGGGACCTCAGAGAGCTAATGAGCAGGGCCATGTGGGGCCCCATATACTCACTTCTTTTTTCTAATTCTAGTGGCCCTTCTAGCAGCCCACATAGATTGTTATGCGGGTGCTTCAAAAAGTTCATGGAAAAATTCCCTTATCTTTTAATTCTATTTTTCCACGAAGTTTTTGAAGCCCCCGCATATGCTCAAGAAGTGAGAGAGTCTGAATACCCTGGTTGGCTTCCCTTATAACCATCACGAGCACCCTCAACACCAACCCCTTTCCACCCTTCTCAAGATACATCCTCCCTCCTCACTCCCCTCCTGTTACAGGGTTAAAGCTCTGAGCGCCAAACACCACCAGCTCTCTTTCTTTTCTTTAATCAAATCTCTAGACCCAATTGCTCTAAAATTCAGCTGAAATCCAAAGCTAAAATTCAGATGAGCTGTGATTTAAACCATGTCTCCTCTTCAACTAGACTCTTACCTACAAACTTCTGGGGGGTAGAACGCTTGCGTTTGGTGAGGCTGTTGGCCAGACGATCAATGAAAGTTGGCCGCTCAGAGGATGAGTGCAGCATGGAGTCTGGCACCATCTCCAGGTCACGTATCTCATCACCTAGTGAGGAGGAGATGGGGACAGACTTGTAGCAGCTGAGTTCGGGTGGCACTGGCCCAGCAGCTTTCCCCTGAAATGTCAGTCAAAGATGGTCATAGCCTATGCCAGGAAAAATGCTTATTTTACCTTACCCAGAACTCATCCTAGTAAACACTTAGATCATTTAGGGTCAATTATGTACATTTGACCCTTGAATTTATACTTCCTTGTGTTTTATCTTTTATTACACTGGGGACATAGACCCTATCATCCCCTCCCAATTGCTGTGGTACACCTGCCATTGGACCCTTCACCAATGGGGATGCTTGTCAGGTTTCCTGGTTAACTTTCTCCTAGTCCACAGACCTCATCCCCCTTTTCCTGTACTCCCTCTGCCCCTGCCCTCCACTCTCCCACCTGGTTGGCCAGCCAGAGCTTGGGCTTCAGTGCTGAGACTCTGCAGGTAGTTGTGGCAGCGCTCCTTGTGCTCCTCTAGGGTGCTCTGCTGTTTGTAGCTCCGGCCACAGTAGTTACACTTGTAGGGCTTGCCCACTGTTGGGGAGGAGACTGTTTGGGAGAGAGGAGAGAAACTTCATCAGTTACTGCTCCCTGTGCCCTGGCTCTCCAAAACCGTCTAGAAACAAATTTATACACTGGTATGAGGGAGGAAGGGATGTTGCTAAATTGAATTCCTTTTGCTTTCCCTTGCCCAACTTTAACTGCAACCATGATCCAAATTGGAGAATAGAGTTAATGTGCAACTATGGGAAGAGAGGGAGATCCCTAGGCATACATCTCTGGATAGGTGGTGGGCCTCAAGATGGCTATGTCACTGTTTAAAGAAGGTGAAGACCCAGGGTCTTTGTAGGAGATTGTCCCTGGTAGGCAGGCTGGCCCCACCCTAAAATAGCTAAGTCTGGGGCCCAGGTTGTGGTTTAACCTTTCCATGTGGCAGGTGGGTGTGAGTGCTGTTTATCAGACAAGGGGATTTTTTGCTCACTAAGTACCTGTTTTGGTTTGGGGGAGATTGGTGGGTTGGGGTAACAGAAACAAGAACCCTTAGATCTATTGATGTGGGAAGCAGCAATTTTCATTGACCTTTATACTTTTACCTCCATCCCTAATCTGGTTTTACTGCTATTTTCTCTTTCTTCCCATATCTCTATACTTCTCTTTACACTGAGATACCAAGAGATCCCCAGAAAAATCATCACTGATAAAGAAATTCTAAGAAGAGGAAAAGGGTAAATGAACAGAGGGAAAAATAAAAGAGAAAGGGAGAAAAAACTCCAGGGGACTTCCCCCCGCCTTCCCTTTAATAAAGAACTGATATTAAAGTTTTCATTTCTACTGAAGAAACAAATAATTGGAAAACTGAGATTGACACTTCCTTTAAAGACAACTCTTAAGATGACAGTTGTGCAAGGAGAGAAAATAATGAAAAGAAACAAAGTATTATATATTTCATGTATCTTGCTATCACTGAACAGGGAGACAGAAAATGTCTCCTGGGACTAATTACTACCCACCTCCTCCACATAATGCCATTTTGCTCTTGCTCTGTAAACCCTAGAGGTGAACACCATGATTTAGTCTATCCAAGACTCTTGGGGAAATGGTTTCACATGTAGGAGAAAAAAAATGACTCCTCAACCTTTTTTTTTTTTTTTTGTATAATATGGATAGAAATAGAATCTCACAGAGGTTGGAGCAAATAGTATATCTGTGTTTGGTTCTATCCCTAATTATGTCCCACAGAACACGAAAAATCCACCCAGTTTACTTTTGTTCTTAAGAATTTCAGGGACCAAACCATTCTTGTTCCAAACCAATAGAGGGAGCCACCCCTGTTCTGAGGAAGAACACCAGTATCTGGCACTGGACCTGGATGGAGTTCCAGCTAAGCTAAGGAATAACTTGGTGACAGGCAGTTTGTTTCCTTTTCAGCAAAATGAGGATAATAACATCTACCTTGGAATGTTATGAGGATCACATGATATGCACAAGCAAAATGCTTTGTATACTATAAATCATGAATCATCTCCCTGTTTCTCCATGTACATATAGAGACGAATAGGTCCCACCTCCAAAGAAAGATAACCTAGAATCAAGTAGATGGTTGGAGAAAGTAAAGGATGGTAAGTTGATTGTGCTGTCCCTTAAATCCTGGCCCCAAAAAGTTTAAAAGAGAGAAAAATACTAAGGACTAAAACAACCACCATCACAACAAAAATCACACTGACTTCCAGTGGATTCTGACTCAAGGTGACACTACAGGACAGAGGAGAATGGTGCCCTCGGGTCTCTGAGGCTGTAAAGCATTAGGGAGCAGGCAGCCTCATCTTTCTTCCATGGAGTGGCTGGTGGTTTTGAACTGCTGACCATGCAGTTAGCAGTATAATGCTTAACTCACTGTACCACTAGGCCTCCTCGTTTTCCAAGGACAGACCCTACTAATTCTTACCCCTTTTTCCGTTCCTGATTTTTCACAATCTTAAGCTCCCTCCTTCTTGCCAGTTCTGCTCCTGGCCTCTTCCCAAGACCAAGCTAAAAGCTTAAAACTCAGTAAACACCTGAAAATGCTATCTGCCCAGCTGACTTGAACAGATATTGATCATTAGTCTTGGCTGAACTGGAAAACCTTGTTAATCCAGCTCCCATTCACTGGTCCAAACAGTGACCTCCAGGCACGCTCTGGACTTGCTCTTGGTTTTGGAACCTGCTCATCCCTCCTGGGATGTGGAACAGAAAATGGATACTGTTTTCCTATCTGGATGCCCTCTATTCCCTTTGATCCAGCTTTGGAGGGACCATGGATCTTTACAGGGAACTCATAGGAAGTAAAAGAGAAGCCAGATAGTGGTTGCCTGAGACTTCTGGTGTCAGTGGGGTAGGGTGAAGATGGTGGCAGGTGCGGGCCTGAAGCATGTGGGAAAAGGAAGAAAGATTTCTCTGGAGCACAGAAATGGGGCCAGGTGACTGGCATCAGTGTGAATTAAAAAAACAACCAATGTCAGGGAGGCTGAGACGATTACAGGGATAACCAGTGTGCATGCTCCCTTCTATCCACATCACAGATCGATGTAAAATACCCCATAAAAGAGTCCCACAAATTCCCCATGGGGCCCTGCTGCCCAAGGGAGGGGTTAGAGATGCAGCACGGATATCACTGAGGAACGGATAGCACTCGAGAGCAGGTACTGAACTCCCCCAATTACAGGAGCAGGCACTGAGCTCTATTTACAGGCTGTGCTGGGGCCTCCCTCCCTCTTCTTTCCCACTGGACCGGTCACTGACCCGAGTGTGTACGGAGGTGACCAGTGAGTGCATCACGCCGGCGGCAGGCATAGTTGCAGAAGGGACATTTGAAGGGCTTCTCCCCAGAGTGCAGCTTGATGTGGCGCAGCAGGTTCCCCTTCTGGGTGAAGGAGGCACCACACTGGTTGCAGTGGAAGGGTCTCTCACCTGCAAGTGAAAGACAGATCCTAGAAGATGAGATGTGAGGAACTTTGAAGGTCGATCCTAGTCCTACTACCTTCTGCCCTGTCTTTCCTAAGGGAAGGTCTTCAGAACACATTTCTGAGGAGTCGAGCTGTGCCACATACACATATCCTGTTTTATAAAGCTCCCTTGGAGGACAAAGCAGAGGGGTGGCAGATTTGGAACACTATGCCAAAAGACTGTTACCAAAAACTGAGTTCCAAAGGGCCTACTCTACTCCAGAAGTCCAAAGTCTGGAGAGCTGGGGAAAGGAGGTATCTGCTTTCCTTTTTAACTCCATGAGGTATCCAAACAATATCCAAGATCATTCTTGAAGCCACAACACCTTCCCCAATCCCATGTCCTGAGAAAAATTCTAATTAGTTTTTCATTATTAACAATAACTGAGAGAAGTACAGATGTTGAGGAGAGCTAAGTTCTACCCCCATTTTATTTTGTTAGCCAGAAACTGAGAGACCTTCTCTTCCTGAGGCTCCCCCACTCCCAAAGACGCCTCCTTCTATCTTCTTGCTATTGTTACCCCAGCACTGCCTCTGTCTTTCAGTCCTGAGACCCCATTGGCTTACTCACCAGTGTGGCTGCGTTTATGCACCATGAGCACGTTGGGCCCAATGCAGACCATGCCACAGACATCACACTTGAGTTTGCCATTGGGCAGCCGGATGCCACCAGGGGAGTGAGGCTCTGGGCCACTCCCATCACAGTAGCCCAGGGGCTCAGATAAGGAATCTTCCACGATCACACTGTCATCCTTCTCCAGGAGCCGCTCATCTGGCCCCAGCAGTCTGCTTGACTCCTCATCGCTGTACATCTCCACCTTGATGGAGTTGGCTGGAGGGTGGATTAGTGTTTAGGACAGAAGCAAAGAGAGAGGGGAACCTGTTCCCAAACCAGAATGGCATTCCTGAAGTCCAGGAGGCTGTCTCTAGGCCCTGAAACACTTAAGCCTTACAATGAGCCAATACTCTAGTAGTCTGGGTAGGTATACTGGAGTCCTGCTGGGACCTGAAGCAGCTGTTTCTGTCTCTCCCACCCACTGAGCAAACAGGCTTCAAGAGAAACAAGTTGGGGTCTTCTGTCACTGGGGAAAGCAGGAGACTTAGAGGGACCTTTTCCTCCACTCTTGTCATTAAAGAGTCTAACTTGGCCCTGGGCAGGAAGCCAGCAATTAACAGTGGCGGAAAATAGTCCTAGGAAGACTGAATGGATAGCAGGCTAAAGAAGGAACAAAACTAGAAGACATTATCCTCCCACCCCAGAAGACTGAACCCCTTTACCTCCCCCAACACACCTCCATAAAATTCCCGGAGAGGGGAATGAAGGAGGGAGAAGCCACTGAGGAGAAGGCTTTGGCTCTAGCTCTGACCTACATTCCTGGCTATTCCAATCATTTAGAGAATGTCACAGATCTAGGGCCAGCTGGGGAGGGGCAGCCATAGGGACCCTGTCTGGGCAGGAGATTTGGGTGGGGGGTGCAGATGGAGAAGTCCTTATATTCTACTTCCTGTCTCGCTTCAGTTAGTGACTATTTCTATCTACCTGCTTCTCCAGTTTCAGAATTTCTCTTTGGAGCCTTTACCTTAACCCCACCCATGTATCTTTTAATTCCATCCCAGCAATGACCATTCACTCTCCTTTCAGAAACCAGGAAGATCCTGGACACTGAACAACTTAGTGCTTTTACAGACTTTGAGCAGGAAATCAGAGTGAGGCAACCATGGGGAAAATGGTTGCCAATTATCTGTGAATCAAGGGCCAAAAGCAAATGAGGTGCCCAATGACAGGAGGGGATAGGAAGATGCACTTACCACTGAGTGAGCGACTGGGAGAAGAGTGTTGGCTGTTGGGGGTGCTCACCGAGGGCCCCACTGGGGCCCCGAGGAACTCTTTCTCCAGAGATGAGTCCCCGCTACCTTGGAGGAAAGAACAAGACAGCAGGTGACACTTGAGCTAGAGCCATGCACTGTCCACTGACTCCTCTTTAAAAACTTCAGTTAAATTCTACAAATACTCATTTTAAAGCCAAGTACAAGGCAGTGCCATTGGCAACACCCTACCTTGTGCCCTCGCCGACCTGGGTGCCAGATGCTGACTTCCGCGAGCTCAGTGGCTGGGCCTTGCCCACCCTACCTTTAGCTAGGCCTGAGGGGAAGAGCATCGCTGCCTGACGTCCACAGGAAGCAGGGCTGGGGTTGGGCGGGTCAGGGCGGAGAGGAAAATGGGGGCCTCAGGAGGGAGGTGGTTCAGGATAGACGGTCTTCCCTACTGTTCCTCTCCGGAGCCCCAACACCAGCTTCGGGATCTGCAGGAAGGGCAGCTGGAATTGTCCCTGAATCTAATAATAATAATAGTAATAGTAATGATAGCAGCTAACATTGAGTACTTTATCTGTGCCAGGCATTGTCCTATGCATTTTAAATTAATTATCTCATTTAATCGTTAAAGCAACCCTATGAAGTAGGCTAATTTTGCAGATGAGGAAATTGAGGCACAAAAGAGGTTATGTTACTTGAATAAGGTCACAATGCTGATGGTGGTAGAGACTAAGCCTAAGTGGCCATTGTTTTTAATCACCCCTTACAGTCAGTTGGCAGGCACTGTCTCAATAGGGGAGAGCTGGGCCTATGAAGACTTTCTAAGTGCAGCAAAACTTTGACTACTTTAGAAAGCCTCCTATCTGATCTGCTTCAGAGCACAAATATGCTACTTTGTAATCCCTTCACAGTTACATAATCAATTTACTATCAAATTTCACTTTGTTGACCAATTGCTTTGTAAAAATACATTTTGAGAATTTCATATATGTTTTTTATTTAAAAAATCAGATGACATACCTGAAGATACGGAACATGTCTTTTTAAAAAATCCCTCCTCCCCACTATCTTCTGCACAAATATGCAGGTGAAATAAAAACACATGTAGACAAACAACACACAGACACATATTACATATGTAGATCAAGTTCAAAAGAACACACTTACTGAGATACACATACTCATAACCTCAGACATTATCTCTAACATGAACATGCATAGATGTGTGCACACAGGCCAAAGTATGAAATAAGGAAAGAGACAAACCCTAAAATCCATCCCTAAATTCCACCTATTAGTACTTTACCCAATTGCCCAGCTCTGCACATACTTACTTTCACAAAATAAAGATTCCATTATAAAATGGTTGGAGTCTTGGGCCTGAGGCAAGAAATCCGGAACACACCCTCCTGAGGGATCCCTCTCCAGCTTTGGTCAGTGGGAAGAAAACAACCACTCAGGACTTGGGGACCATTTCTCATTTATAGCCTTTCCTAAAAGTCCCATTTCCCCCATTCTAGTCCTTCAAATCCTGAATTAGCTCATTAGCTATAGGAAAAGCCATGGGGTTTAAAACTCAGTTTTATCAGCTGAGGCTCTTTAGGTAAACCATGGTTATTTTTTTGTTTTTTTAGTTGCCTGAAATCAGAACCACACATATATCCTGAAGTGAGCATCTCAGAGTTATGGGTTGAAACTTGTAGATTCAGACCAAGTTTTAAAATATGTCCTTCAACTAAGTGTCAAATATACTAAGTTTGGAAGGGCTGAAAGAGTGTCTTCTCAATCCTTTTCCAATGCAGCGGCTGACTTACCCTAAATCACTTGCTGTTAGTGTTGGGGAGAATAGGGCTCTGAGTCCTTAACTATCTAAGAGGAGGAGAGAGCTTGCTAGAAACGAGGTGGTCCTAGTCTCTTAGATGAAGTTGTCTCTTGGTGCCAGGAACTTGTGATTTGGGGAGAAGATCCTTAAAGGGACGTTAAGGGGGGAAATATCCTTTGTGGCTTCCCCTATTAAGACCTAGAAATAGGAGGAAGAACAGGTTCCTCAAGAGTCCACTAGGAGTTCGGTGACTCTTTGATGCTGTTACCCTCTTTAGGATAAAGGTAAGAGGGAAAGCAGGCTCAAGTCTATTTTTATGGGCTAATATATAAAAATTAATCTGTTCCAGGAGTCAGAAAGTCTTTTGGGGGCTTCAAGGATTTTGTGAAGGTGGAGAGGACTAAAGTCAGATTTACTAAATTCAGTAGTTCTGCTCTCAGCCATAGAAACCCCAGTGGGGGAATTTCAAATGCCTGGGACTCCCAAGAAATCCCAGACTGTCAAAGCCAAGAATTAAGGTTGCTGTCAGGTCTATGAAATGTTCTTGGTCAAAATCATCATAGATTGGCCAGACCCACAGAGGGCAAAGCCAGATCATGAGGTTCATACCAGGAGAGCTGGAAGGTGGGTAAAAGGAGAGAAAGGAGACAGGGAAACAGCTCACAAGCTAAATGTGTTTCACATGTTGAAGGAGAGGAGCCCTTGGTTCCTGCGGCCTTGCCTTGATCCCTTCAAAGAGTGACTACCTCTAGAGAATAGCCACGAGGTGGGAGAAAGCTCTGAACCTCCACACTTCTCACCGTAACTGCTTTCCCTTTCTTCACCATGGGATCCTGGGTGGCAGGATGCTAGCCTGCTAGCCAGGAACAGTGGGCACAGGAGCAAAGAAAGCCGCTCTTCCCCAGCTCTATTGTGGGCAGGAGGCTGAGATCCTTCAGATCTCTGTTCCAGGCTGAGGCGGGTAATGCCAAAGCTCCTCTTCCCCACCTCGATTCTCTCCACTCCCCATTCCCACCCAGGCCTGTCTCGGCATTTTACCCCAGGCAGCTCTTCATCAGTCCCTAAGGCCTAATCAAGATGTCACCACTAGCTTCCACTGTCCAAGTCACCGTCTTTGCTTAGCAACGCCAAACACCCTTTCTCATCCTCCGCAAGTGTAAGGAGGAACGCCCCCTCCCCCCTGCCACACACACACAGCCCCCATCCTCTCCCTCTCCTCAGGCTTGGGAGTTGTTTCAGAATTGGCTCCCAAGCCCAAACACCCCCTTCCCCCCTCCACTAGCCGCCTTCTGCCTGAACTTACATTATCCTTCCCTTGCCGGTGAGACCCTGGGGTGCGAGCGCGGCCGCCGCCTTGGAAACGGCGAGGGAGTGCGGGTGGTGTGTGCATGTCTGCGTCTCGGTGGCAGGCAGGGGTGAGCCCAGCCACTCACCTTCCAGGAAGCGTGGATTCCTGGAAGTGAGGGGAACCGCCGTCATTTCGCAGGCAGCAGCAGCGGCACGGTGAGCAGGGGCCCACGGCTGCAGCCAGCAAGAAGAGCTCAGCCCAGGGTGTATGTGTGTGAGTGAGTGAGTGAGTGTGTGTGTGTGTGAGTGTGTGTGTGTGTATGTGTAAGAGAGAGTGCGAGCGCGGGAGCTATGGAGCTTGGATGTGCTTGAGGAGGGGGCTGGAAAGAATGTATATGTGTATATTGGGGGGGATGCTAAGCTACAGCATCACTTTCCCAAGCCAGTGAATGGGTGGGAATAGGGGTGTGCACAGGAAGGGGGAGGCAGATGCTGTTGCCCTTGTGCCCAGCAGACAAAGAGGAACTGCACAACAAATGCCTGAGAGGCAAGTGTGTGCAAGAGAGACAGAGAGATGGATGGGTCTGCAGGGTGGGAGGGAAAGAGAGGGGATGCAGGGAAGGCCCAATCCTGTGTCAGCTGGGGAAGCCAAGGCCCCAAGAGGTGATGGGGCCCAGGACACAGGGCAGCTTGGAGGCTCAGAGCAGCACTCTTGAGCTCTCAGAGCATCTCCCCAAGTAAACTCAGATACTCTTTTCCCTCCTCTTCCAGGAGAGATGTCGCTCTCACATCTGCAATCCTCTTCTCAGCTGATTGGACCCAGCACTGTCTGATCTCTGGCTAGTGTTGCTCTGTGGCCCTGAGCCCTTTCAGATCCTGATACAGGCTTTCCATTCCCCTTCTCCTCCTGTGCCCCTGGGGCCCCAGCAGCCCACAGCCCTGGATGAAACCTGCTATCAGGACAGGGCCTCTACTCCTTCCCTTCCAGAGGAGCTGACGTGCTGACCTACTTCCAAAGACTAGATTTTCTGATTCCAAGAATTTGGGAGTGGGAGGGGCCATGACACTTGGGGCTGCCTACCCCTGGATCCCTTTCTACTAAGGTTCTCTTAAACATTTCATAGTCTCAAAAAACTTGGTGTAAGGCTACTCAGTTAATTGCATGAGCTAGGTTTGAGCAAATCAGTTTCCTCTGAAAGATAGAGGCTGGGGAGAGAATCTTAGTGGTAAGTTAATGGACTCCTTCTCTCCCTTCCCTCCTTGGATGAGAAAGGGATCAGATTTAATTGCTTACATCACCTAGGTGTTGCCAATGATTCTCATGTCTGTCTGAACATCTTGCTATAGCTCCCTTAACTTATGCCAGTCATTCCAACATTGGTTCCACTTTAAAGTTAAAAATGAAGCTATAAGTAATTTCCACAGTGGTGTTTAGATTTCTGACGGGGATACTCTTTATGTCAAAACCCAATCCTGCTTTCTTTAACTCTTAGTCATTTCTTGTCCTGGCCTTCTCATGGTCAAAAAAAAAAAAAAAAAAGCTCCTCCCCTCTACACTGCTCCCCAAGCCTTTGAATAAGGAAGCTGTCAGCCCTTTTCTGCACCCTAGAGATAGAGCCAGATAAAGTTCCTAATTTCTTTCCACCTTACTAAACTTTGGGAGGTTCCTGATTACTTCCAATTCTCTAAAAGCCATTCATACTATAAACAAAGGTCTCTTCTGTCTCATTAAGAGTATCTGACAGATATGAAAAGCTAAAACATGTTAATATCATGGAAAAGGACTGGGGGAAATGAAGTTGAAAACTGGTAGTCCACTGGCAGAATTCAGTAACTGATAAGTTTGACTTACCCCAAGGAGCATTTAAAAAAATATTATAAACTGGAATAAAAATGTTTAAAACATCTGGAAATGCATACATATGCATTACAGTGTGATGGATCACTTTTACAGGGTTTTTCTTGCCATGGTCTTGTAACTCCACCAAATGATTAAGTGGAGCTATGTAAATAAAGTGCTTGTGGCTCACCAAAGGGATTGGACAGCTTGCTAATAATGCAAATAAGGTGCATGGCACCTTGTGGGTGTGAAACAATGCAAATAAGAAGTACAAAACACTAATGAGGGATTGGTCAGTTTTGCCTTACTGCTACATTTAAAATGAGCCATGCCAGAGGTGGGAAGTGGGGACTTCACTGCCACCAAGAAAGAAGAGCTAGGAGTATAGCATGTTCTTTGAACTTGGGATCCTTGTGTTGAGAACCTACTAAACTCAGGAGACAGACAAAGCTGTAACACCAGAGATGGCACAAGATGGTGAGAAGCAACAGAACTAGGAACCAGCAAGAGACAAGTCAGTGAGCTTTCCAGATCACTAAGTGAGAAAGCTGAGCATCTTCAGGTAAGAGCCTCCAGGTACTTAGTGGAGCACCCACTGAGCACCTTAGAGCGGAGGCTTAGTGGTGGTATGGCATGCCCCTGGGCACTTGTTGGAGGAGCTAAAGAGGTTTGTAACACTTGTCCAAGAGGCCTGAGGGGCTGAGAGGCCAAGGGCCAGGGAGAAGCCTGCTTGTGGGCATAGCCCACAGAAGCTATCTTCACCAAAGAACTATATTAGTATCTTGAGTTGTTCCTGATCCTCAATTGTAACCTGTTACTACCCCCAATAAAACCCTTCACTGTGTAGATGGTCTGTGAGTTTTGTGTGACCATTGCAACAAATTATTAAAACCAGCAGAGAGGTAGAGAGGGCTGTGGGAGTTGGTGTCAGAATTGGTAAGAAGGTTGGAAAATGGAGGTATATCTGATCTCCCCATCATATGAATGAGACTTGAGCTGTTGGATCTTGATTATCCTTCCTCGTTTAGTTAGAGGATGTCAGATGCCCCTACCATGCCATTTCCACACCTATTTATATATCTGTTTCTTTAGAAAAATTGGAGGCTTTGACCATGTTGAATACACATTGCTGTATGGCAGTGACTGGTGGCAGGCAGCTGAACAGCTTCTGTCCCCTTGAGGTAGGACATGCCCCCATCAGTTTCCACTAATCTTTTCTGCTGATTACCCTAAGCCATTTCACTCACTGACATACACACTTGCTTGTGCAGGCCTCTGAGGTTTGAAACCCTGCTTCACTCTCTACCTGGATGGGACAGAATTTCACATTTGGTTGGTGACCTGAGCACACAGGAGAAGATGGACCCACTTCTTCCATCTTTTCCATCATTCTCTTGCTGATAGTTTCCGCTCATTTCTCTCCTAATTTCTTTCCCCTACCCTCTCATTCAAGGAGCTCTGGTAGCGTAGTGGTTACGAATCGGGCTGCGAACCTTAAGGCAGCAGTTCGAAACTACCAGTTGTTCCGCGGGAGAAAGAAGAGCTCATTCAATAAGTCTGGAGAAGAAGATCACTGTTTATGGAACATACAATCACAACAGTAAGTACATATTAGCAAGCATGAGGATCCCTCATGGCAGAGTGGGTTATATGTTAGGCTACTAATCTCAAGGTCTAGTTCTAGTCCACCAGGTACTCTGCAGGAGCAAGATGAGGCTTTCTGCTTCCATAAAGACTTATAGCCTCAGAAACTCTATACAGGGTCACTGTGAATTGGAACCGACTCAACAGCAAACAACCAGCCAGCCAGTCAGCAAACAGACATGAGTGCCAGCTACATGACTAAGGCAATTACATGTTCTGTGCCTAGGTTGGAGGCTCCCCACCCTGCTCTGGGCCACTTATAAACAACACACAAGAAGGCATACCAGACATATAGGAGCGGCCATTGCAGTCTTCTATGTCCATCTTAGTGATTCTGCTGAAAGACAAAATAACTGCTATTAGAAATCAGATCTGAGAAGACTGGTAGAACTCTAATATTCTTGAGTTAGCAAGAAAACTAAAGGATTATTTAAGGTTGATCTGACACTATCCCAAAGAAGAAGACCTCATACATTCTCCTGATGAGAAAAACAATGTAACTTTCCTTTGTTACACAACTTCTGCTGACTTCTCTGGCTTATGGGATGGAAACACTATCTTATCCCAGAGTGGTCCTGACTGCACTGTGTTTGAGAGTAGACACACTCTCTGTAGGTGGAGCTAATGCTGTGAGAAAGGAGACAGGATACACCTCAGCCCTCAGGAGACAAAGAAACAGTCCCCTTAGAGGCTCTGTACCTTGGTTGGGGGTAAGGGAGTCCCTGGGTGGTTCAAGTGGTTAATTAACATGATTGGCTGCTAACCCAAAGGTTCCAGGTAAAAGTCCATCCAGAGGCACCTCAGAAAAAGTCTGGGGGTCTACTTCACAAAAGTCACCCATTGAACACCCTATGGAACCTGAGGTACTTATGTACAACCAAACACTTCATGGGATTTGGTTCCTCTGTTTGGAGGTTTAGGATCATGATTTCATAAGACATCCCAGTAAATTGGCTTAATAGAGTGTTTAGTGCTTCTGTTTTACCTTTTGGTTCATCGAGTGATACCTGGGGTCTTAAAAGCTTACAAGTTGGCCATCTAAGTAAGGCACATTATTGGTTTCTATTGACCTGAAGCAGCAGAGGAAGGAGAGACAGGAGTGAGAGGAGGACATTGAATGTGTGGCTACTTGCTTCCAAGAACAACTAACACCTTTGCCATGAGACCAGAAGTGGAATGTGCCCAAGTACCATTACTGAACATTTTGATCAACAATTTCATAGAAGAATATTGATCAAAAGAAGGGAAATGTAGAAGAGAATTTCAAATTCTCATGGATGCCACAGACTTTCTGGACCACAGGAGCTGGATGAACTCTCAAAACCACTGCCCTGAAATAATCTTTAAACCTTAAACCAAATACATTCCTTGAAGTCTTCTTAAAACCAAACAATAGTTCAGCTAAACTAGTTAAGAATGTTTGCCTTGAGCATTCTGCTCTTTTCGGATCTACCTACTTGAAATCAAATTGACAACAGCAACTTGAAAGATTAGATAGGAACCTTAGGGGAGAGTGAGCTAATTTTAAAGGGGCAGGAACAACGCAGAAAAGGAGGGTGAAAATGGTCACACAACTTGAAGAATGGAGTCAGTGTCACTGAATTGTACATGTAGAAACTGTTGAGTTTTTTGTTGTACATATTCTCAATAGCAACAAAAATAAAATATAAAAAACAAAAAGAGAAAAGAGCACAGTTCTAAGCTGACACATGTAGGGTCACCATGAATTGGAATCTTCACTCAACAGCAACTTAAAAAAATTATTATTATTAGTGCTAAGGCTCCCTGGTGACACAGTGGTTAAGCACTCAGCTGCTAACTAAAAGGGAAGTGAACTGAATCTATCAGCTATTCTGTGGGAGAAAGATGTGGCAGTCTGCTTCTGTCAAGACTTACAACCTTGGAAATAGCATAGGGGAAGGTCTACTCTGACCTGTTGGGACACTATGTTGTTGTTGTTAAGTTCCATCGAGTCAGCTAGTGACCCTGTATCTGAGGAGTGGCTGGTGGCACTGACCTTGTGGTTCAAACCGACCTTGCAGTCCAGTTCATTATCCTGCAGTGCCAC